TTATTTTCTCAACTTTACAAATCAGTAATAATGTCAAGAGGTAAATATGTGTAGGGGAAATAACATACCAAGATCAAACAGTTTGTTGATACCTTGGACTATCGCCTATAGTACTTTATAGCAATCTTAACTTTTTCCTTTGATAGTTTCATTCTAAAATGGGGAGTGAGATTGGGAGTTGAATTTCCTAACGGCTGAAAAGAACGTTGAATATAATCTATTTCAACACTACTAGTTTTGCCAATGAGATATGAAATGATCTGTTGAAGGACACACTGCTCAAGTGGCTAAGCTGGAGCATAACTCAGGATTTTTGTTTCTAAATACTGTGCTTTGTCTACAACACCATAGTACTGCTTATGATCAAGAATAATTATTGAACTAAATCCAACAGGGTTTGGGATATTCAACAGGTAAAATGACCCAATTTTTCAACAAATAAATGACATTAAAAAAGGGGGGGTGGAGGAAAAATCATTATAGATTAAAAGAAACATAATATCCATATCAACAAAATGCTAAACTGTAGACTTTTAAAATCTCGATTAGAATAAACCAAACATAAAATTACATTCTTAAGGCAATCAAGGGAAATTGAATACAGAGTGGGGATTCTAGGATAGTAAGAAATTACTGTTAATTTTGTAACATGTGATAGTGGTAGTGTGGTGATACTAAAAAGAAGTCCTTATCTGTTAGAGCTATACACTAAAGTATTTATCAGTGAAATATTCTATCTGGTTATTTGCTTTAGAACACCCCAGAAAACAAACAAATGAAAAAGTACAAAGATAGATTGCTAAATGTTAACAGTGTTGATAATCATCAAGGGTGGGGGTTATTTCTACTACTTTACTTTGGTACATGTTTGACATTTTTCATAATAAAAATTAAAAAGTAATTATTGAACTCATAATACATAAAAGACATCACCAACACAGTTCATTAATCACTAAATACCCAATTTTTCTTATTTTAATCGGGAGAACAATAACAGAAACACCTTAGCATGAATCTATAAGGTCCTACATGTTCTGGCTTATGCCTATTTCCAACCTCACTAATGACTACTGCACCAAGATGGAAAATTATGCTTTGTATTTAATATGCGTTTTCATAAAACTGCTATTAAGTTTGACTTATTTTATTTTATATATTTTTTTAAATTAAAAGTTTTTAAATAATCTCTATACCCAGTGTGGGGCTCGAACTCATACCCTGTGATCAAGAGTCACATGCTCTTCTGACTTAGCCAGGTTCCCCAACTTCTTTTTAAAAATGTTCTTCCCTGTATTCTTATTCCTTGATTCTTTAGTAACCATGTTGTTTATTTCAATTCAACACGTATTTATGGAATGATGTACGAGTTTCTGTTAGGCCCAGGAACAGCAGACAGGGTATGTGAATTTTATATCTATGAAATATTCACTTATATATAAGTATATATGAAAAATATATGACATATATAACAGAACTGATAGATGCTATATTAGCTGTATGAAAAAAGTCCTATGGAGACCCTGAAGAGAAACATGTAATCAAAAACTTGATCAATAATGTTAGAGGAAGGACAGAATTATCTTTCTATACTCTATATAAAGAATATTACAAAATATGAGGAGGCAATCAAAGAATGTGCAGCCAAAACTATAGAAAACAAGTATTATAAAGGTTTGTGGGATATTAATTTATAAAAATATGTTATTTTCCTGGATTTAAGGATGTTTGTGTTATTTGTCAGCTTCAAAAAATTTGTAGTTATGTTCTCTATTTTCAAATAAACATTCACTTTCATACCTAATTTTCTATTTGTTTTTCCTTAATCAGCTCCCCCTCATTATATAAACTTCAGGTGCCACACAACCTGAATCCACGTGGGTGCCTATAATTTGGTAGGCACTGTTCTGGGAGCTAAGGGTCGTCAGTGAACAAAATAGAGAGAAAGGCCCTCTCTCTTATGAAGCTTACATTCTAGTTGGGAGAGACAGACAAAACAAAAACATAATAAACAAGGAAATTCAATAGTACGTTAGAAAGTGCCATGGAAAACAGTTGCGAAGAGTTAGGAGTATGGAGAGTGCAGGGCAAGGAGTGCGGGTGAGCTGGAACTGCAATGTTAAATAAGGTAGTCAGAGTAGGGAAGTCTCATGGAGAAGGTGACTCTGAGCAGACTTGAAGAAACTGGTTATTGAGAATACCAGTGGAATCTAGTGTAGCATATTAGTTTAGTGGTACTCCATTATTCTCTTATTCAGGTCCTGCCTTAGAGTATTGAAATAAAATAACCCCAAGGACCCAATACCGGTGGGGAAAGCAGTAACAGCTGGATCAGGGTTAAGAACTGAATGGTCGTCTAGGACACTGCTCATAGAGATTGGTACTAAAGAACATAGGGACACTACAACATCACGGAAAATTAAAAAAGGGGAATATGATATTTACCAAAACATCTCTGGTAGCTGGGGTGAGAACCCGAAGGGGCATGGCACTGAAGGAGATTTGGTCTGATGAACTATCAGGTTTGTACTGCTGAGTAGGGTGAAGCAATAGGGAATCACATCTGAAATGCGTGGGTGACCGCTTTGCTGTCACTGGCAGTGACAATGGTGCTTTCCCACCCTTCCCACCCCGTAGCATTCAATCGTGCCGCCAAACAGAAATCAGGAAGACAGCTAAATATGTAAGCTTAAAGTATACGTTGTCGGCCTGCCCTAGAAATAATAACTATGGGAATGAGACTATAATTGTGAATATTTTAAATGTTCTTAGAGCACCACGTTTGTTTTTCTTTGGCAGCTGTGGTATAGTAGAAAGACAAAAGGACGAGTCAGAACTGGAAATGAGTTCTGAGTCTGCCACTTAGCTGATTAGCCTTGGGCAAACCAGAAAGTGAAAAACTAAATTTTATCATCTATAAAATGGGGGCAATAATAAGTTTCTTTTTAGGCAATCAAATGAGGTAATTGTGTTTAAATGAACTTTTTAAAAAAATATGTTATTTATTTATTTGAGATTGAGAGAGAGAGAAAGAGAGCGAGAGCGAGCAGGAGCAGGGGTAAGGGCAGAGGGAGAGGGAGAGGCAGACTCCCCACTGAGCAGGGAGCCCGATGCAGGATTCTATCCCAGGACCCTGAGATCATGACCTAAGCCCAAGGCAGCCGTTTAACCGACAGAGTCACCCAGGTGCCCTAAATGAACTTTTTAATCAACAAAGTATCATATTCTTTTCAGCATAATAATAAAGGTACAAGGTCATTCACAGTTGCTAGGTAAGGATTACAGTTATGATGTAATAACTTAAGTTGTAATAATCAGCGAATAGTTAAGACAGCATGTAAAAGGCTTTAAAAATCTCTATAATCTGCCTTCACTCAATTCAATAAAACAATTGAACAGACTTTTCAATGTTTTTTAATGGTATATTAGAACAAGAAACAGACACATATTTCAAAAGCAAAAATAGGTATTTTGTTTTCTTACTCACTTGAATGGATACTGAAGGAGTGACCCTTAACCAAATGAAGGTGCAGCATCAAAAATAACTGGCTATTTTCTCCAAATTGCCAGCTAGGTAGAGTGATTCTTAAATGATACTTCTTGTCAGCAAGAAAGATGATACCAAGAATGAACAAAAATAGCCTCTGTTCAACAGCTGTGATATTTATAATTTATAAACTGTGATCATCTCTCATCAGATTGTCTTGGTGTCTAAACAAGAATGGATGTATGTTTGCCATTTGTATATTTATCACTCTTCAGAAAACAAACTTTTATTATATCTTATTCTTTCTGATCAATGCATTTCTCTCTTCACATATAAACAGTATGATAAGAAGCTTCTTGTTTGAGGAACATGACCTTGGAACTCTAGTGTCATGTACAATGTTAAAAATGTTCAACTAATCCTTAAACATTTATTTCCAACCAGCAAATACCTTTTAAGCACTGAAAGGCAACACTGAAGACTAGGATAACATGGAAGGAAGAAGGGGAAGTAGGGTGGGAGTGATAATTCATTACTAAATTCTTGTCAGTCTTTAATACTCTGCCTGGGTGTCATGCTTCTAGTTTCCTTACTGTTCTTCCCCCACTTCTATTTTTCTTTAATTCGTGCCCTTCTATTGCCCTTGCTCTTCACCATTCTCTTTGTGCCCTATGTATTTTATTTGCTTTGCTCACTACATTGTTTCCCTCTTCATTTCTTTCACTACTTCCCTCTTGTGCAGCTCTACGACAAGGTATTTCTACACTTTATACAAGCATGCGCTAAATTACAATTGAGCAAATTTCGTGACTGTGCTTTACTGGAGAACTTTGCGCAAATTAGAATTGAGAGCTCTGGAGGAGGGGGCTCTTGCATCCACAAAACAAGAGAACTGAGAATTATAAAATACGTGGAGAACTGAGAGAGCACAGAATTGTGTCCTCCATGTGCCACGACCTGCATCAAAAATACCTCGCCCGTGACTCAAGAAACTTCCTGCAGCGCTCCGCGGACTGACCTTCGTTCGAGGTCCTTCCCCACCGCCGCCACCCCTGACTTCCCCTACACCCACATTTTCGTCTTTACGTCCCTCCCTCCCCACACTTCAGGCCCATTTCTCTTCAAATTCGACTCCCACCTTGCACGCCGAGATTTGGCCCCTCTCCGCTCCCACGTTCGCTCCCCTCGGTTTCTGTCACAAGCCCCCCCCCCGAAGTCCCCCTCCAGCTCGGCGCCCCCCACAGGTGAAGGGCCCGTCTCCTCGCAGCCTCCTACCCGCCCCTCCCCCGCACACCTGGCGGCCCCCGGCCCTCCCCCGCCCCCCCCCCCCCCTCCGGCGGCCCGCCTGGCCCACAGCCGCCGCCGCCGCCGCCCGCGCCCGCACGCCCCCACGCCGCCGCCGCCCGCGCGCCGCGCCCGCCTCGCGCCCCTCGGCGTTTCGGTCCTCCCCCGCTCGCCCCCCCCGCGGGCCCGCTGCACTGTGGGTAGGCGGCGGCCGCACTGAGGAGCCCGCGGCGGCGGCGGCGGCGGCGGCCGCGCTCGCACTGAGGAGCCGGCGGCGGAGCTAGGCTGCGCGCGCCGAAGATGGCTGAGAAGCAGAAGCACGACGGGCGGGTGAAGATCGGACACTACGTGTTGGGCGACACGCTGGGCGTCGGCACCTTCGGCAAAGTGAAGAGTTGAGTATGCGCCCGAGGCCAATACGCGGGGCTGTCCGCTCGCAGGAGGCCGGGCGAGCGGCTGGAGCCGGGCGCCCAGGGCCGCGGGGCGGGCGCGGGCCTGGCGGCAGGTGGAGCGGGCCCAGGAGCCCCGCGAGGGTGGCGGGGGGCGGGGGGCGGCGGCGGGGACGACGGGAGTCCCGGGGTCTGGCGGGCGCTCGCGGACCTCAGTGCCCGGGTCGGTGAAACCGGAGGTCGGACTGTTGGGCAGGGTGCCTTCCAGCTGAGACGGTGTGGGCAGCACCGGGGAGTAATACCTGGTGCTGGTGATTGAGTTTCCAGCGCGCCAGGTGCCCTGCTGGGTGCTTTACTTGTGATCTCATTTAATCCTTACAGCGACTCGGTGCAGGTGTTGTCCTCACCTTGAAGGTGAGAAAACGCGGACCCCTAGAGGTTTGGGAACGTGCCCAAGGTCACACAGAAATTGGCAGAACCACGATGAAGTGTAAAATGTCTTCCAGTTCTCGCTAGGCCGGGGAGGTCCCTGCCATCCGAGTCCTTCGTGCGCCAGGACTCGGGCGGGGTTGGTGGGGTCTACGCTTTGGGGCAGGTTCCGGGGGCATGGAGGTGGGGGCGTGAACGCAGAAGGCCGCTGCATGGGCTCAGGGCTTAATTAGAGCTGGAGGTGCGAGGGGTGCTTGACCAGTGGAAAGAAGCCTAGGAAGGCTTCTGGGATGGGGGGAGGTTCCTTGGTGTTGGACCTTGGAGCGTGCGGGGCTGAGGAGGCCAGAAGTGCTAAGACGTATTCTGCTGAGGTCTCTTTTCTTGGTGACAGAAATCCCATTTTGGGTGTAGAAAAACAGGCTGTTTTTGAAATAGTTTTAACTTGTTACTAGTTAAGTATTGAACTTTCCTCCTTTTGCTGTTAATAACAGTCACATGGGATTTAATTAATCTGTCCTCTCTCCTGAACTAGAGCCAGCTTATTAATATTTTACGGTTGATTGTTATAAAATCAGAATTGTAAGTCAAACGTTAGCTTTTCTCTTTTTGCTGTAAAAATGTTGGGTAGGCAGTCTGGAGATTGTATCTCAGGCCTCTATTTCCTTGTAAAATACGTATTTTAACCTCAAGTCATGGGTGTTAAATAGGTAGAAGGAACTCATTCATTCCTGTGGCAAAGATCAGCTCCTATTTACTTCCACGTATCTGAAGCTCTTCTATTGGGAAAACCCTTACTGAGCACCTGCACTGTGCTAGACACTGTTCTCGGCAATGGGGATACAATAAGGAACATAAACCACATTAATATCTCTCCTGTGGAGCGTATATTCCAGTAGGGGAACACAAAAAATAATCAGAATATATATGTAAAATACGTAGTATGTTTAGTGCTACTGAGAAAAATGAATCAGGGAAGGGAGAATGAGTTTTGTGAGGTTAACAGTTTTCAATAAGGTGATCAGGCAAGGTCTCACAGGCAAGGTGGTATTTGTGTAAAGACCTGAAAAGTTTATAAAAATCTTTGAAGTCCTATGTGGGCCATAAAGTCCTGGGGTATTTATGAAAGACTTTATAAGTAGAGTGGATAGCTAAGAGAATATATTTAGAATGAATATAGGAAGATCCAGGCATTAGGTTAATGCCTGAAAGGTTACCTGTCATTAAATATCATTACTGAGGACTGCTGTGTTACGATATTATTCAGTTACTCAAGCAAACTGTGCCTTTGCCATCTGGGTATGTACACTCTCAAAATTACATAACTTACCCTACATCCTTTCAAACTGTGTTAAAATGTTTGTCTTTTTTAATTCTTCTGTACTCTGAATGTAGACTAAAACACCCATCAGATCAGTTGGCCCATTGTCAAAGGACAACCTAAATCTCTTTTGTATATATTCTTGTGCTGCTTCCAGCCACTGGCTTCTTAAATATAAACCAATGGGTGCTCGCTTCGGCAGGACATATACTAAATATAAACCAATGGAAGGTACGTTGGTTTATGAGAAATCCTTTTACTGGAGGATGCAGTCTGATGGGCATCCAATCAGAGGGGTGTTTTTAACACTACGTCAGAGCCTCTCTAATGTTATGCTGTGATTTCCTATCCAGGATTAGAGTTAGTACCATTGTTCAATAAAAATGATGGAAGTTGCTACAGTTCAGTTATTTAATTCTTCAGGGGACAAGAAATAAAAGTACATGTATTTTTAAAAGTAAAAATACACCTTTATTGAGGTATATTGTACATATCATTCACCCATTCCAAGTGTACGATACAGTGATTTTTTTTTTTTTTGTAACTTTACTGAATGATGCAACCGTCATCATAGGTGCAACCAACATCAATTTAAAAAAAAATTTATTGCCACAGTAAGGTCCTTCATGCTCATTTACAGTTCATCTTTGTTCCCACCACCAACTTCAGGAAACCCTTAATCTGTTTTCTGTGTGTATAAACTTGTTTTCTCTGGATACTTCTGATAAATGGGATCATTCAATATGGAGTCTTTCATATTTCCTTTAACAATGTTTTTAGGTTTATGGATGAGATAACATGTGTCAATAGTTTATTCCTTTTTATTGCTAATAATATTCCATTGCGTGGATATGCCACCTTCGTCTATACATTCACAAGTTGTTTTTGGTTTGGGACTGTTAAAAATAATGCTACTACAAGTATTTGCATGCAAGACTTTGGGCACATGTTTTCATGTATCTTGGTTAGGCACTGAGAAGAAGAATTGCTGGGTCCTATCGTAGTTTCATGTTTAGCTTTTCGAGAAACTGCAAACTTATTTTCAAAAGTGGTTGTACCATTTTGCAGTCCTACCAACAGTGGATGAGGGTTCTCCCTTTCTCCGCATCCTCACCAGCATTTGTTGTAGGCTGTTTTAAAGGCATTCTAATGGGTGTGAAATGATGTCCCATTGTGGCTTTAATTTGCATTTCTTTAATGAGTAATGATATTGAACATCTTTAGGTACTTATTATTCATATATCTTATTGGGTGAGATGTCTGTTCATATCTTTTGCTTATTTCATGAGCTGAATTATAAGAATTCTTTGTAAATTCTGGATTTGAGTCCCTTATTAGATGAAGTTTGTAATTATTTTCTCCCAGTCTGACTTTTTCATTTTCTTAATGGTGTCTTTTGAAGTCTAAAAGTTATGAATTTTCATGAGGTCCAATTTATTGACTTTTTCTTTTTATGGACCCATTTTGAGTTAATTTTTGAGTATGGTATAAGATGAGGTTTTAAGATCAGCTTTTTGAATGAATATCCAGTTGTCCCAGCACAGTTGAAATGTATATGTTGAAAACACATGCACTTTTAACTGTTACATAATTTAGACTTTGTAAAGTTAATAAAAAACTTAATAATAGATGATTTAGTTGTTATATATATATATATATGTGTGTGTGTATCTTAAGATTTTATTTATTTATTTGTCAGAGAGAGAGACACAAGCCGGGGGGAGCAGCAACAGAGGGAGAAAGCAGGCTCCCCTTGAGCAAGGAGCCTAATGTGTGGGACTCTATCCCTGGGATCATGACCTGAGCCGAAGGCAGACACTTAACCAACCGAGCCACCCAGGCATCCCGTAGATGATTTAGTTTTTTTTTTTAAAGACTTCATTTATTTGACAGAGAGAGACACAGCGAGAGAGGGAACACAAGCAGAGGGAGTGGCAGAGGGAGAAGCAGACTCCCACTGAGCAGGGAGCCCGATGCGGGACTCCATCCCAGGACCCTGGGATCATGACCTGAGCCGAAGGCAGACGCTTAACAACTGAGCCACTCAGGCGCCCCAATGATTTAGTTTTATATGGCTCTAAAAACATGGAGATGGAGGAATGAATAGCATTTTTTACCTTTTCTCTTAACTGTTAGGCTAGTTGTAGATTTTGAAAAATTTAACTGCCCTTGTTGATGTACCAACTTACAGACTGAAGTTAGGTACAATAAGTGAAAATTCAGAGTGGCATAATTTTCATTTGATTGCACTCATTTCAAGGTATTTTTATTTTTATTTTTAAAGATTTTATTTGACACACACAGAGAGAGAACAAACGGGATAGTAGCAGAGGGAGTGGGGGAAGCAGGCTCTCCACTGAGCAAAGAGCTGGATGCCGGGGCTTCATCCCAGGACCCCAGGATCATGCTCTGAGCCAGAGGCAGGTGCTTAACCGACTGAGCCACCCAGGCACCCCTCGTTATTTTTAAAAAAGTATGTAGAAATCCTCTATTTGCTGTTAAATAATGAAAGGCTTATTTTAAATGTTGTAAACTGATTTTCTTCATTCTGTTGTTTTGTTAGATTACCGGTGGAGTGCTATCAAAACAAATTATGGGGGCTGACAGAATTTAAAAGTAATGTTTTTTCTCTACTTAAATTTTTTCTCCACGTTGATTTAGTTCATACTCTTTTCAGGGTGGGGTAGAACTGCTGTTTAAGAGCTCTTGTAATTAGACTTGTTCAATTCTTACCTAAATAGTAAAGGTGATAGAAATGCTAGAAGAATGGATTTGTTGCTTGTGTTATACAAAGACTGGTTCAAGAAAAATATACATAATATAATGCTAATTACTTATTTAAAAAGAAGCCTGCTTTTTCAAGGTGAGTACTGACAGATTTGCTTTATGAAATATTTATTCTTCGTCAGAATTGTACACCAAGGGATACTTTGTAATCACATTAGCCTCTTTCTAGCCAGCAGAGTCTCACCAAGGAATTACCTTCTCTGTTTTTCAAATAGTTATTTGGATGACCCATAGAATTGACTTTCAAGAAATTAAGTATATTACTAATTCCTCACTTATTTTTGAGATAACAGGAAAGATAAACAGATGGACTTTTTATTACATTTTTTTTTTTTTAAACAAGGAGTGTTAACCTTCTTTGAAATACCAAGTTCCAAATGATAAATTGAATTTTGGACAACTACCTGGTTAGTTGGTGGACCTGAATGTTGTACCTGTGGCATATTGGGCCCTTGCTGTGATTGTTTTTTG